CCGACGCATCGTTAGTCGCTTAGCCGCCTTACATAATTCCGGTAAAACCTCGGACGACGAGTTGGGCCAGCCGTCTCATAGCGTCCTCATCCTCACCGTTCGGCTTAATCAGGAAATACAACTATAAATAAACTACATTATATAAGCCATATTAGATAACATCTTCACACACGCCCTAGCAGAGAGGATCGAGGACGCGAGACGGATGGTTCTAGGAGCCTGGGAGGCATCGGTTGGTCATCGGACAGAATGAATCAGAAAAGGGAAGTCGGTGGCGGTCCTCGATCACGTGGCTTCGATACGATCTGACCACCGCTCACACTGCGCTACAGCAATCCTCCAAACACTCAACACTCATTCATTGTTACTATATGCATGCTGCAGAACATGGCGAGCCCTCTATCTCTATTCCCGTCGGAATCGTCATAGGCCTGCTGGCCTCGTGCGTGCAGTCGCTAGGACTGACCATCCAGCGCAAGAGCCACGTTCTGAACCAGGCGCTGCCGGACGGCGAGCAGCGGGTCGAACATAGGAGGCCGTGAGTCACGATTCACTCTGCGTCTGGGTGAACGGGCTTTTTGACTGATAGCGCTCACATCGGGTTTTCTGGGAAGGCTCTGGCTGCTTGGTTTCGGTGCGTGTCCTGGCCGAGCTGTTATACCGCTTGCGTTGACCTGTCTCTCCTGCTACGATAGCTATATTCATATCCTCCAATATCCTCGGGTCACTATTTCAGATTGCATCTCTACCCGTCGTCATCCTCGCGCCCCTCGGAGCCGTCTCTCTCCTCTGGAATGCCTTCTTCGCCCGGTTCCTCCTGGGGGACGTCTTCTCCCCGTGGATGATCCTCGGCACCCTGCTGATTGCCGGAGGGGCGGTCCTCATTGCTATATTCGGGATCGTGCCCGAGCCTACGCATTCACTTGAAGACTTGTTACAATTATTCAGAAGGCCGGCCTTCGTCGCCTACTTCTCGATCTTGGGCTTCATTGTTGTAGCATGCCTGATCATAGTGAGTGGCCTTAATGCCCTGCAGCATGGTGCGGCTGACGGCTCGGATATAGACCCATATCGTCGAGTACTCTTATACGCGGCGTCGGGGACAGATTGCACTGCCTGAGACCCCTCCCCTCTCACCTACTCTTCTCCCGACGGATGCAGTCACCACGCAGGTTGTCACCGAACGCACCCCGCTAGTCGACCGCAAGCGGCACTCTTCCTCTCGGTCCATCGCTTCCTCTTCATCGTCGCAGTCGCCTCCGCCAAAGTCGAAGGCGGACCGGCGCACTGCGCTTATTCTCGCAGTCTCCTATGCATCCATGTCGGGTATATTATCGGGAATGTGTCTCATCTTTGCCAAGAGCGGCGTGGAGCTTTTGATGCTGACGCTCAAGGGGCACAACCAGTTCTGGAGATGGGAGGCGTGGATGTTGCTCATCGGGCTGGGAGTATTTGCGTTGTTGCAGTTATGGTATCTGCATAAGAGCTTGGTGCTGGCTGACCCGACGCTCGTTTGTCCATGTGAGTTCTGAGTGATATCACGCTGCTCAGATGGTGACGACTGAAGCTCATGTTCTACAGTGGCATTCTGCTTCTACAACCTATCGTCCATCGTCAATGGGCTCGTGTACTACGACCAGTTCTCTCTTCTTTCGACCTTGCAGCTACTGCTCGTGTCATTGGGGATAGTCGTCCTCTTGGCAGGGGTGTGGGTGGTGAGCGTATACGCCGGAGCAGGCGGGGTAGACGTAGGAACCTGGAACGAAGAAGACGAACCCCTGGAAGAAATCCAAAGCGAAGGGGTCCCAGAGGAGCAACGGTCACTGCTAGGTGATGTTGTGGTAGAGGAGCCGGACGCGGATGCGCTAGCGCAAAGCGTGGAGATACGACCCGACCATGCGCGCATCCACACGGACTCTCTTGTGCTCCGCTCACCATCGCTTTTGCTCTCGCCTCCTCGACGGAGTCGCCGAGTTCCGTCCCACTCACCTGCATGCCCGGATATACATGCAACGACTCACACCTATCCGCTGTCGCCGCCGCTGCCAGTGCCAAGCTTCTCGATCGGCTTGAGTCCGGTGAGCCCCGGGTTCACGGTCGTGCCGAGGGAGAGGAGAAGAAGGGTGAGCGGGATGGGGTCGATCTCCGGGGACAGCGCAAGAGCGGTGGCGATGCGGAGGTCAGTTAGCGACGGGGATGCGAGCGTGCGGTCGCGGTCGACGGAGGACGCGATGAGCGGTGGCGAGGAGGCGAGGCCTGGAGGGAGGCATGATGGTCTCGGTGACGACGAGCGCGGAGAACATGGCAGGAGCCGATGGCGATGGCTGCGAGGGATTATCCCGCGGAAATCATGAGAGAGAGGGAGGTGTACATTTTCAGTGGATTTATTATTGTCACTAGAGATACCAGTAATATACATAAGATATCAAGCCGGCGTTGTCGGGTATCCGGTGCTGGACTGCGCGAGGAGCACCCGAGTGACACCAAAAGCGAGAGCCCTTAGACTTGGGACTGCACCCTAAGACGCGAGACCAAGGGGTCTTGAAAACCTTATTTTGCCACCCCACCTGAACGCCCCCCCTGGGTACCCCACCTCGTCCCCTCTGACTTCAACGCTCGAGCACCGGTGTACATACAGGACACGTCAGCGTCTACGCTAGTATAATAAGGCTCGTCCTCTTCTCTGCCCGACTCCCGTCCTCGCTGTCTGCCCCGTCGACCGCCGTGCTCTTGCCGCTTCCGGCCGCGGTCCGGGTAGAAGTCTGGTAGCAGACCCCAACCCTAGGGCGGACTACCACGTGTGAAGTGACAGCGTCGGCATCGCAGGTGAGGCGCTTCTTCGGCGCTGCGTCCCGCCTCTCCGGCGCATCGTCGCCGCCCGCTGTAGGTCCGTCGTCGTCGTCGCCGACGATGAGCACGGCTGTAGCATTTCTATGTAGTCATAAAAATACCGAATAAATCTCGTTAAATACAATAAAAT